TATGGTTAGTAGTAATATTAGGATTGGGTGTTCTTTTAAACTCCATAGGACAGATATTTATATATTGCTTTTTTTTTTGTTATTGTACTATTTTATCATTATTATGAGTAAAGGATTGATTTGTAATCAAATTTTGCTCTTATTTATTTTAAAATCAGTGTGGGATCTAGGATTAGATACTTATCAAATAATGAGATAAGCAGAGATTTTGACTTTCTATTGTTGTTGATTCTTTATTTGTTTTTTACTATTTGCATAATATTTCTATCCTAATATATATTTTTTTTTTCTTTCTCTTTTTTTTTTTCTCTCTTTTTTTTCTTTTGTTTATATGAGTTGGTAGCTTGTATAAAGCTTCATTTGGAAAGTATTTCACTCTTTTTTTTCTTTTTTTTTTTTAAGCGATAATTTCAATTGTCTTAGCAATTCAGAGTTTCATTATGTTTGTTGGATTAGTTTTCTTCTCTTCATATTTGGATTGTCAAGTCTGGATATGTTTCTTTATTATACTTTTACATTCTACAAACCTCGTTTAACTTCTACTTTAAGAGACAATTCCTGCATATGAAAATACAAAATCTAGTATCACTGATAAGATATGTTTTCATTTCTCTTTTTTTTTTTTAAAAAAATGTCAGCTAATAAGGCTTTGATCTCACAGTCACTACCAAATTTGTCAGAGATGAATCAACCAAAATTCTACCTCTAACAAGAGAGAAAAAAAATGATATTTGAGTATTTAAGAGAAGGGTAGGTTGACTAATAATGCTTAGCAGAGAGAAAAGGTAGATTTTGATTTGGCACAGGTCTAAAATGTCTACTAAGTATCATTAGATAAATAATTCGATACAATTTCTAATGAATATATAACTTAGGTTTATTAAAGAGCTTTTATTAATGAATTTATTAGATATAGAGCAAATTGTATACACTAGGATCTGTGAAATACTAATTATTGCTTGAACAAGGAGGATTTGTTCTCTTATTTATAACAAAATTACAGGTTAAGAAAAAGAACAAAATCAATCATTCTTCTCCTATCTCTAATCATTGAACTATTATTGAATTCAAGCTATTTAACTCTTTCTGGTCTAATCCTAACCTTTTCTCATAGCTATTCTTATTGAAGTTCTAACAGAATAGAAAAAGAAAGCAAGAAGAAGGCAAGTTAAATGAAAGCTTCTACATTGTCATTATTCTTTATCTGTTAACTTTATTAATCCATTCATTGACTCTTCTATCGAACCATATGTATTTCTCTTTTATAGCTATACATCTTACCTGACAAGGTAATATTACCTTAACTAATATTATACTGAATTAGGTAAGTATCTTTTTCTTTAATGAGATTATTAATAGAGGCTTGGCTTTCACTAAATTATTGTTTAGTACTTCTAACAAGTTCCTGGCTTCAACTAGTTTTACTTGCATATGATTGACATGTGAAAATTATAGATTCTGGGATATCATAGTATAATAGCTTTTGTATAACAATTCAGAGATTACTTGTGTGTTATTCTACATTTTTCTTAAATTCTGTAAGCATGTGGTTTTACCTGTGATAATGTAATCCAGGCTCTAGTTGAAGATTGTCTAATTGACTAATTTTTATAGATCTACCTGTGATAATTAGCCAATCAAATTACATAATTTAAAACAGTTTATCACTTTAATAATACTAAAAAATGAAAGAAACTTCATACAAAAAAGTTACAAATTAAACAAACATACAAAAGAACTAATTTATTTTAATATATTAAGAATAGATAGGTACATGTAAAGTGGAGTAAAGGTGATATTTATTATTAATAAACCTAAACTTATTATTATAATTTACAATTTATAAACCAAAACTTATTATGGTTAATGAATCCAAACACAATGCAAGAACTAAACATATTCAAGTATTAAACCCAGAACTTTTTTTACAGTAAACCTATTCTTATTCAAATTCAATAGTCAGTAATAAAAGTTTTTTTTTTTAAAATCTAATATAATAAAGCAGTCTTGAACAAAAATATTCTTACTTATCTTTATTTCAGCATAACTTAAGATCATCCAATAAATGGCAAGTATATTTTGTCTTCTAAGCAAAGTTTGTTGGGATTAAGATTATTTTAAGATTATTTTGCCTAGTGAATATAAATATTTATTTAAAGCTAGAAATAGCTTTATCACAATTTTTATCACTAAAATATTATATTATCAAAAAATACTTCAAAATATATAAATAAGTTACCTAAGCAATTGATTTTTATTAGCCAATTAGACAATCTTCTTTCTATGGCTCTAATTGACCATTATAGAAGAACTTTTATTTGATTAGTTAATTTTTGTAAATCTTTCTGTAATTATCTGTAATAATTAGCCAGTCAAATTACAAAATTTAATGTTTATTTGCAATATTGATGTTATATAGAAAACAAAGAACAAAGTCTATATCAGATATAAATCAATAAATATATACAAAAACAAAATTTTATATTATAGAGCTAAAATATACAGTCAACTCTCTCTAATCTGAATCTCTCTAATCCAAATACTATTAAATTCTCTCTAATCTAAATAAAAAGCTCTAGAATATTTGTAAATTTTATTATAGAGTTCAGATTAGCTAATAATAACTCTTTAAAAACTGAACTTTTTAACCAATTTTATATATAAGAATGGACGTGTCAGAATAGACAGAGTTGACTGTATATATATACATAAAATGCTAATTTATTGCTACCAAAAACTGGCATACTATATATTTTAATATCTACAAACCTAAATCTACTAACCACAATCAACAAATCTAAGAATGCTACAAGAACCAAACAAACACAAATATAAATCTAGCTTTTTTATTTCAACTACTTCATCTATTATACCAAGTTAAATAGTTAGTAATAGTTTATTAACACCCTTGTAAGATAGCTGTAGTTTTGTATTATGCTATTTTATTTTTTGTGGTAGTTTTTTGTTATTTTTGGTTAGAATATTTGATGAATATTATGTTGATTTACCTTTTTTGTTTTTTTTACATATCTTAATATTATACAGTAACCATATTATTGTGTATTAGTTTTTTGATCATTGATCATATTTATTGATCATGCTTTTTTTTTAGATAATTGTTTGGTTGATTGTTTTTTTTCTCTTTATTGATCATTGATTATTATCATACCTTACTGCTCCATTCTATTTCATTTCTGGATAAGGGTTTTATTTATATTATGAAGTTTGGTTTTATTGATTTCTTTGATTAACTTTTTAATATTTTGGTTGATCGGGCTTTGTTGTCGATTTATGTTAATTGTGCTCTGATATTTCCAAAAAGACAAAAAAAACCTCACTAATCTATGATAAATATTTGCTTATTTGTGCTTATTATTAGGTTCTTTCATTAGTTTTTTTGTCTATACCTATTAGAAGATCTTTACACTGATTTAAAAAAGATACATCTGTGTAATTCGTATTGGTAAAAGTTTGCTTTGCATTTGTTATACCTGTTCATAGTCCTAATGCTTGCAGAAACAACAGGATTTAAAAATGTTCTATCGATTTTTTTGTTTTGCAAAATAGATATTGTTCAATTCATCATTCTAGACCAAACAATTTATTTATTATTATGAAGTTGGTTGATATTTTTTTGATTTTTTATAAGTTTTGTTATTATTATTTTTGATTAAAATAAAATTCAAATGAATATAAAAAAAAATAATAAAATAAAATAGTTTGATATTAAGTATATAAAATTTATAAAAATCTGTTTGATAAAGTTTAGATCAGCTGAATTGTAGGTACAGAAGGCTCTAGCAGGTTTACCTTGAGAATAAAATTGTTCTAAAGTAGTTACTAAATAGTATTGTATCAAGGTTATGTATATAAAAATATATGTACGATAGATGTAGATCATCTAGTTGTAAAAGTAATCCAAACAATAATAAAGTACTTGACCAAAAGTGTCATCTTAACTCTAAAAAAAAAAAAAAAAAATCTGTTTGATCACTTTTTATAAAAGTATTCACTCTTCACTTGTGATCTATAACAAACCTTAAAAAATGATCTTTCTTGTGACTTCACTTTTTGGTATAGCGTAATGGTTTATCAAAAAAAAACATAATTTATTTCATTATAAATAATGTATAGCTTCTTGACTACTGCTTGGTCTTTACTCTATTTCCTTTGAAAAAATAAATTTTTATTATTTATCCCTTTGTTCAATCAATTACCTAATGTCTTTTGTATTTATATCTTATTGTTTTATTAAATCGGTTAGTAAAAATAAAAATTACTTAACTATTAATATATTATATAGAATAAATAATATAGTAAACAAATTTAGACAAATTACTTATAAAGATTATACAAGAAGCCTGGAATCCTTGATTATTGATTTTGAAAAAAATTTAATCATCCTAATAATAGAATATTATATATACAAAAATGATACTGAATACGTATATATATGGCTGCTTATAAAGTTTCATACCTTATGAGATACTCATATTTTGAATCATTTTTAAGCTTATTTTAATTCAAAGTATATCTATGTCTAATGAAAATGAAAATGATCTAACTCACAATAATCTTCTGTATTTCGCTCTGTTGTTAATGCTTTCTTCTTTCACATTACCGAATTCTTATTCTGATAATAATGGTGGTAGAAAAAGCTTTATGTTATCCAAAAAATTTTACAATAGTATTACTAACAACCAAAATATAGATATAAATTTTCTTATATTGTATTCTGACGATGGCAGTTATAATACATTAAATGATAATCTCAACAAAACTGTATTATCTACTGTAGGAAGACTTAAGATAGGTTTGAATAAAATACCCCATATTGTAGTATTCGAAATAGAGTAGAATTAATAGAAAAATTGTCATCAAACACATCTGACAATAAATCATATAATTCCAGGTAATGATAGTTAAATCTGATTAGTTAAATCTGAATTTAAATACAATTACAACTAAATTTAATATTCTAAAAATTATTGTCTAAATTTATATATTATATTGATATCAATATCAAATCATGATTACCCACTACTTACTATCTCAACAATAACTCAGGATAAATTTTTAGGGTAGTCTACAAATCTTGAATTTAGCTATAATCCAGTAATCATTATTAAAAATAAGTATTTGTCGATACATATTATTACTTATCCTTGAAAATTATTTTTATTAGATCTTTTTATATGATGGTAATAATATGCAAAAAAAAACTGTAAATCATGATAAGTAATAATAAATCGTAATAAGCAAATAATAAATATTTGTATCTAAAAATATATAAAAATAAAAAAATTATATTTTTTACTTATTTTATTACATTATCTGTCTCTATTCATCCCCTGTTTCTAATTGCGTAATGATAAATCTTTTATTATCTTTAATTCTAGAATAACTTTGATAATGAACTAGATAGTATAGAAGAAAAATATATGAAGACAAAATCAAAAAAACACTCTAGAATCGATCAATCATCACCATCCTCCTCAAAACTATCAAAAAATGATACACAATCAATTAACAAGTTTTTAGAAGCTATTTCTCAAATTAAACTCGGTACTTCTACCATACAAAAAACTGATAAAGATGTGACCAAATTGATCAGCAAGATGAAGATATAATTCAATAATAGATTACTGTTTCCTTTTTTCTTTTCTTCTTTTTCTTTATAATATCACGATAGTTATTTGCTTGATCTTAAAATAATGATAATATTCGTGATTCTTATTTTTGCTATTTATATTTTTTCTATTTTATTTTTATTTTTGCTTTTTGTCTTTTTATTAAAATAAATTAGTTTTACTATAATAAATATTCCTATTAAATTATTAAAAAAAAAAATCACTATGATTCTTTTATGTTTTGGATTTACATCTCGATTACTATAAACAAAGAAAATCTTTGTGAATTGTATCAATAAACAAATTGCTTGATTTGATCATTATTTACTCACCAATCTTTGAAATACATAATAGTAAAAATAAGAACCAATTTGTTATAAATAAATAGCTTGCCCCTCTCCGAAAAAAATAAGTAAATAAATAAAATAATAATTTAATATATTTAACTATCAATTTTTGACTCGCAAAAAAATGTCTAATAGTAATCAAAATTCCTATTCTGCTACTTCAAACTTCCTGATACTTCTAAAAATTTACCTGTTATTTCTTTTGAATCTTACATTTATTGAAATGAAATTAATCAAAATTTATCAAATGCATCCTTCTAAAATAATCTTTTTATTCAATATGATATAAACGTATTACCTCTTAATGCTTTTATCTTTTTTCTTCTATGGGTTCTGTCATCTGGTCTTATACATCTTTTAAATAAATTTTATTTCAAGATATTGTTCAAATATCCAAATATCTCTTGTATTTGTTGTTCAATGCTTATGCAAAAATTTGCTATTATATAAATCCCTTATAACAAAAATGGATCGTATATATTAATATGTGTTTTTTCTAATATCGCTTTATACACACAAACTAATAAGAAAAATAATAATCAGATAGCTATTTGTAACAGTTGTAAAAATTTAAAAACATGCTATTATCATCTGATTTTATCATTTATCCCTTTTGAAATCGATGTTGCTTCTACATTGTATAGAAGATATCTTTTATCTATTTATTTAGCTGCTCACTAGGCCGAATAGTAGACTCAAATTGCTATACTAACTATCGATATCTAAAAGAGATAATTAATATTTCTTACAACAGGAGAACTTTAGAATTGTATTCTGGCTTAGTTGGTACTTACTTAAATGCTAACGAACTCCTGAATTGGTTTCATAATTCTCTGATTCCTGCTTTCAGTTGGCTTAAAGAAAATAATCTACTTATTTAAAAATATGTATTTGATATTATTTTTACTAAACCAAGACCAGAAGATCCTGTACCCATCCTTTTACCTTTAGCACACCAATCTACTGTGAACTCTGTTGTATTCTTGAATATTTATCAAAGTGCCCTTCCTAATGAAACACCTCGCCTTCTGATTTAGTTATCCCTAATGATTCGTTTTCTCAAAAAATTCATAATGAAAACTTAAATTATAATTACTTAATAGCTAGTTCAATAATAAATGTCGGGGATGATGCTGAAATCGGATGATGCTGAAATTTAGGGGCCTTAATTTGAAAATATAAATCC